CATTTTACAAGGCTAGAAGGTTTCTTGGTGTGCACAGTCAAAATTTATCCCAGTGTCATTACCAAAGATAAGTGTGCCTTTTCCCCCTGTGGTCAAGGGCTCATCATTTCTAAGTGGGAAATTTTTTTTATCTGAAAGAGTGACCTCCTTACTATATAGGTCCTTCACAGGCAGCTAAGTCCAGGCAGGCATAATCTCAGCCCTCTCCTTCGGACAGCAGGCCAACAAGGATAGGTAAATAAACCAAAGAGAATTGCCATATGACACCCTAAGTGCCCCTGCATGCTTTCAGAAGCAATGCTAATATGGGTGGACAGTATAGCAGATATGGTCTCTCTCAGCCTATTAAATAAATCTGACAGCCTAAGAGCTTTTGCCTGAGAAGAAGTCAGGGCATGCAGACAGCTATCCTAGATTTCCTGTGAATGGGGGCAATTGAACCTGTCCCTGCTCTTCAGAGGAAAAAAGGCCCTATTCCATATTATTCTTAGTTTAAAAAAAAAGTTAGAAGGTTACAGAGCACTTCTCAACATCAAGTGTCTCAACAAATCATTTAAAAAAAATCAAAATTCAATATGAAGACCTTAAAATCCATACTATCTGCCATCGACCAAGGGGACTGTATGACATCTATACATCGGAACAATGCCAGTCTCCATATCTCAATTCAGCAATCTCACAGATGCTTCTTAAACTTTGCTCTTGAAGCACAACATTACCAGTATAGGCTGTTTGATTTAGCAGCAGCACTGCTCTGTTTACAAAAGTGCTGGTACTGTTAATATCACGTCAGAAAGGAAGTGGTCTCTATCTACCCCTTCCTGGGTGACTTATCCAAGCCTCATCCAGAATCACTCATAGACTATACTACCAAAACACGATGCTCCAAAGCCACAATTTTGTGAAAGTCTCAGTTAACAGTCTCATCTTGTTCCCAATCTGTGAGTGGGAACGATTACTGTCCTCTATGAAGTTGCTTGTTGCAGAAAAAGCAGAAGCGGAGAAATCTTATCTAAACAGTCAACCTGTCAAGGGGAGTACCCATTCATATGCTTCTGTCTCTTCTGGGATCATTGGTCTCCCATGTGGATATTCTTAGTGGGCCAGTGCTCACATGAGGCCGCCACAGAGCTTTGTCTTATTCCTCCCTAAACTATTCCTTATCCACCCATCAACCCACCCTAGGAGGATTCTTGGGTCATTCACAGGGGGTCAAGGACCATCCAAGAAATCTGGTTCAAATGAGAGTAAGCACAGCATAAACTGGCGAGAGCTCAGGACAATCCAATATGGTCTCAAGGCTTTGCTCCCATATCCGGACTTGTCTGTCATGATCAGCACTTGAGTTAATACCTCAGCCATGTCATATGTCAACAGACAAAGGAAACAAAGCCTACAGTCCTTCAAAGAGAAGCTCACCTCCTGATGACTTGGGGAAAGGAAAACGTCCAGTCACTTTACTCCCTTCCCAGCCAAAGCAAAATTAAATATTACGACTGAATGGCTCAACATGCAAAGTCAGATCATCCAGAATGGGAACTACACCTAGAGGTGTACATCTCCTGGTAAAGAAATTTAGTCTCTCAGTAACAGGTCTGTTTGCCTTCCACCTGAATCATGAAGTTTCAGTGTTTTTTCTCTTACCAGTTGTGATCACAGAGCCAAGGCAACAGATGCTTTGTTGCAAAGATAGCCAAAGGGGACTCTTCTATGCCTTTTTTTCTCCTCAGCAGAATGCTGCAGATGATCAGAAGCAGCCCTGGTAATTCTGGTATATCTTTCTGGCCAAGGAGACCTTGATTCTCTGATCTCCTTGACAGGGTACAAAGCCCTCCCATCAGTTTTCCATCTAAAGGGATGGAAATGAGATTACAAGGCCAATCATGCATCAAAATTCAAACCGTGTGAGTCTAGCTGCCTAGTTCTTGAACAGAGCCTCTTAAGCCAAAGAGGTTGTTCAGAGGGCTGATATTTACAACTTTAGCTTCCAGAAATAAATCTACAAACTCAGCATATTTAAGTGCCTGGTTGACCTTTAGCCATCGGTCCCAGGACAAATGACACCCCCCTCACCCCCCGCCCCAAATCATCATCATGGTACCACAGATTCTCAAATTTCTTCAACATGGATTTGGGTTAGGCCTGTCAGTTCCGACTTTCAAAGGTCAAGTTACTGCTTTGTCTAGCATCCTCTGTGCAGTAGACAAGACAGAGAATTTCATTTTACCCAAACGTCTTGCATTTTTCTTATGAGAGCTGCATATCTTCTACATCCTGCTGGTGTGCATGAGAAGTTCTTTTATGGGATCTTACTTGATTCTGTTGCTCACTCCCTCAAAGCTGTGGCAGCTTCATGGGGAAAAAAATCATGTGCCTTATAGAATAAAATCTGTAAACATATGACCTTCTGGTTATCTGTTCATATGACCTTCAGAATTCTGTAAGTTGGACGTTCTCATCATCTGATGCTGCCATCAGTAGACTGGTGCTTCTCCCTGTAGTATCCCAGTGACTGTTAGAAAGGTATATCTCCATTTGCATCTGTACACATGTCTGTATATAGTTCCCTGATGAGTTTATACTGCTGTAAAAATCTCAATGTCATGAATCTGTGGATCTCATTACAAATATAAATAGGAAAATTTATCCGTGTCTTACCTGAAAATTTCCTTTCTTGGAGTAATGAGGTTCACAGACCCAACCTATCCTTGACTGGGTTGTTAATTGGAAAAAAATATTGAATTTTTAATTGATACTCCGTTTGCTATTCATTGAGTTCTTTGCTGTTCAGAAGGACTGTTCTATTTAGTCTAAGAGCTTAATTTTCCTTAGAGTGTTTAGTTTTTCCTAGGCTTATGGAAGAGTCTCAACTAGCGGTTTCGCAGAGGTGGAGCCACACTGCCTCTTATTGACAGATTTGGTCTGCCTCCAAGGCTGTGCATAGAGCAGAATTCCCACTTTCCTGGATCTGTGGACCTTATTATTCAAGAAAGGAAAATTTTAGATAAGTTTTCCTATACTTTAGTACCAGAAATTGAGGTTTCCTGGAAGTAATAGAGATAAATATTTTGAAATCTCAACTACTAGTGTGGATTGTTTTTGTGGGAGGTGGGGGGGGGGGTTAAATCTCATCTCAATCATTACATTTGTGCATGAAGAAGTAATGAGGTAATTAACTTTCAGACTTGCATTTTGTCCATCTTTTCTACATAGTAACAAATGTTTTGTTTGTACATAACCTCCCTAATTAACTTCACTTAGTTCTTGTATTCTTTTGGTTGACAGTCACTGCTAAATAGCTGAGATTGGAATTTTTCATCAGAGATTGGACCTTAGCCAACTTCCTACTGGAGTTTGCTCAAAGAGTAGAAGTGCTGTTATCCTGTTGTATCCCACAGGGCAATAAACTGGTCTCTCTGCTGTCATCTTGCCAAGGAGCACAGCCACTCATTTCCAGCTGAAGTGATATGGTTACAGAAGGATTAGCAGGATGTGAAAGCTGGATGAGCAGGCTCTAACAGGGAATGGGTAACCACTTGGAACAGGTCAGAGAAGCCTTTTGAAATCCTTGGAACTTTCTTCAGTCAAAAGTTATAGTTCTTGATCTTAGTTAGATCAGCTTAACTAGTTAATTTCTTTCTCTTTTTGAGGCTGCCTAAAAATACTTACAGTCTAGCGGACGTTTATGTATGTTGCTCAAAAGAATAACCTGTAAGAATATACCAGGTGGGTTCATTTGCACTAGACAAACACTTTTGCTGAATTGCTCTGTTTGTAATTAAGCCATGATGTGGTCAAGCAAAATTGGTATTGTAATCACAGTAAAATTACATATATGGCTACTTCTGATGAGACAATTTCTTTTTTTAAATACTGCCACACTTTTGATTTACATTGCATGGTTTATAGACAGTTTATATTCATGTCATCTTAGATAAATTGCTCCCTGCTAGTTGAATAATGCTCATTTTAGGATCCTGGAGCATAGAGCAAAGTACAAAATTGTTAGATTTTGCATCACCTTTGTTTTCTGTCCATTGTGTTTGATTTCTGAATGCTGACTGGCTTGTGCTGTATTGGGGTTCATCTTAATAAATAACATCAGAATTTAACTAAATCATTTGAAATTCAGAAGAGCAAGCTACTACTCTTCTGTACCAGTCTGTTTATATATACTTAGGCAGTCTTTGGTACAGATGTTTGAAAATGATAATGTCTGCAGAACTCTGGAAATTTCTGATTGACATTCTGAGAAGCCACACGAATGCCAAAAATCTCCAGTTAAACATACACACACAACTTCCTTTTTTAATATATTTTCCATTTCCTAATATCATTGAAGGTAATTCAAAGTCTACATTTATTGAAAATTATAGAACCTGAAGATTACTTGAAGTCACTCCACCTATATAGCCTCATACCTGGAACATTCTAGGTGCACAATTCAACAGGAAACTTGTCAGTTAGATAGTTTCAGCTGAAGTTTGTTGGAGACTGAAGAATGAAGTAGGGCAGAATGTAGTTTGTTCAGAAGGACCCTTTTCACTGTTCTAACTTGTTTTTTTATTTTTACTTTTTTCCAGACCAATTTAAGTGCTTATAGTTATAATTAAAAGATATGATTGACTGATTGGATTTTAGAAGACATAACATCCCTGGAGGACTAATTGCTTTATGTAAATGATGTGTCTTTCACCACTCTGTGTTTCTCACTTACCATTAAGTGACTTTGTAGAGAAATACATTAAAGGACAAATTAAAGCTTATATTTAGAAGCTGAACCAATAGACAAACAGCAATTTCTTAAAATATTAAGACATTGATATTTCCCGACAGTCTGTTTCCAATGTTATAGTTATGACCTGTATGCCTAACATTTTTGTTAATGACAGGGAAAGCACTTGTCTAATTTTATAATTATGCATTATAGAAACCAAATGTTGTTTTTTTTCTATTTATATCCTACATGCCTACAAGAAATTTCTCTTTTTATTTAACAGGTTTGGGTAAAACAAAAAGGAAGACAAGTGCACGAGATGCCTCACCTACTCCTAGTACAGATGCAGAATATCCATCCAACGGTAGCAGTGCAGATCGGATTTATGACCTTAACATCCCAGCCTACGTTAAATTTGCCTATGTGGCAGAGAGGGAGGATGAGCTGTCCCTTGTTAAAGGATCCCGAGTCATTGTTATGGAAAAGTGCAGTGACGGCTGGTGGAGAGGTAGCTACAATGGACAGATTGGCTGGTTTCCTTCGAACTATGTGGTGGAGGAAGTTGAGGAAGCAACTGCAGATTCCCCAAGTTTTCTAAGTTTAAGGAAAGGTGCATCCATGAGTAATGGCCAGAGCTCGAAACTACTTCATGTTGTTCAGACATTGTATCCATTCAGCTCTGTCACAGAAGAAGAGCTCAATTTTGAAAAGGGGGAAACAATGGAAGTCATTGAAAAACCAGAAAATGACCCAGAATGGTGGAAATGTAAAAATTCCCGAGGGCAAATTGGTCTTGTTCCTAAAAACTATGTAGTAATCTTAAGTGATGGTCCTACCATTAACACTTCCCATCCACCTCCGATAAGCTATACAGGGCCATCTTCTACAGGACGGTTTGCTGGAAGAGAGTGGTATTATGGGAATGTTACCCGGCATCAAGCAGAATGTGCCCTAAATGAGAGGGGAGTGGAAGGGGACTTCCTTGTTAGAGATAGTGAATCTTCGGTAAGTGACATTCAACACTTGAATTTTTATTATGTGCTTCATATAAATAAAAAACTACCACATGGTGTATGGTGTTTGAAGTAGCAATGATGGTAATGAATAATTACCTTACATTAGTACAGTGTCTATCCCAAAAGAAGTAAGCAATTTACAGATTTTACAAAGTGATATTTTTGCTGTACACTTGGGTCACTTCATTCACTACTGAGGTGCAACCATCTTTGGAATGAAACACAACAATTGTGAACTAGTTTGTGTACTAATTGTGGAGTCACAAGTCATAATTCCCTAGTAAAGATTGAATTCCATTTTGAACTTAAAGCAGGGATTCTCTTGTAGGTATGAAAAATACAGCATATCCTCCCCAAATTTACCACACTTACTCTGAGTATAAAAATTAATTTAAATGGGTCCTTTAAGAAATTTAGCATCTGTAGCAGTCTTTTCTTTGTCTTGAGTGATCTTAATAATGAAATAATATCTTCAGACTTTCCATATAGTTAAAATTTCTTGAAATCTTGTGTATAGGTTATATTTGAAGAAATTAGGTTGTAATTAAAGATTTTATCTAATTTTTATGATTATAATAAGCTGCAGACAGAGTCAAGTAACTCTTAAGTTGAGCCACAGTGACATCAGCATGATGTTGTAATTATGTCAAACTAAGCATTACAAATGCAGGAAATTCAGAAAAAGGTTACTTTTAAATATGTTCCAAATATGCTAAGGTATGGAAATACATAGTTAAATCACTCAAACAACCTGAACTCTGCCTTATAGTGACATCATGACAAGAAAAAAAATGTAGTTAAAATCCCTTAGTGTGTCTTTTAAAAATAAATGTTCTCTAATCTGGGACTACTAATACTAAAAAGCCTTAATCATTATCATATGGTTATTGAATGGCATCAGCCTAACTCAGTCTTAGGGTTTATCTACATACTATTTATGTATGCTGTAACTGTATCAATCTGAAACCATCATAAGTACAATCCCATAAGGTGGATACAGTATAGCACTCTAAAAGTATTTTATATTCCCATAGATTTAGGGTTCCGGTATTAAAGCACCTTTATGCCAGTATAACTGCATCCATACTATGAGTAATACTGATTTAACTATACTGGTTTCAAAGTAATAAAGTTAAAGCAATATAAAAAACTGTGTAGAGGCCAGAGCTTAATACAGTTTTTTGTCTGAGAATATATACCTTAAATAGGCCCAGCTATTGGAGCATTAGATCAGTTGTATTAAGCATTTCTACTTAGAACTTCTGACTAAGATTATTTTCATATTATCTGTTAATCTGATAACTGTTTCTGTGTTGTTTAGGTTCTGTAAAATGATTTCACAGAACATGTTACTTAGGGTGACCAGACAACAAATGTGAAAAATCGGGCCGGGGGTGGGGGGTAATAGCCTCTATAAGAAAAAGACCCAAAAATCCAGACTGTCCCTATACAATCGGGACATCTGGTCACCCTAATGTTAGTGTAAGTACTAGTTGACAAATTGTGGCTTTTCATTAGTTACTATTAAAAAAATCTAAAATTACCGTATATACTCGATCATAAGCCGGTTCGTTTATAAGCCGACACCGCCCTCCTCCTCCCCCCCCCCCCCCACGACTGGATAAGTAAAAATGGAAAACAATTTATAACCTGTTCATAAGATGACCCTATAATTCAGGGGTAAGCAAACTTTGGCTCCCGGGCCATCAGGAT